TTTATTTATTTTGGGGAGACAGAGACAGAGAATGAGCAGGGAAGGCACAGAGAGAGGCAGAGACACAGAATCCGAGGCAGGCTCCAGGCTCTGAGCTGTCAGCACAGAGCCCGACATGGGGCTTGAACCCACGAACCATAAGATCATGACCTGCTCAGTCAGTGGCTCAACTGACTGAGCCACCCAGGCGCCCCGAGACACATTTCTAATAACTGATGAACTCACATTGACATATCATTATCACCGAAAGTCCACAGTTCAACAGGAAGGTTCACTCTTGGTGCACATTCTGAGGGTTTGGACAAATGAATAATGATATGTATCCATCATTATAATATCATTTTTTTACTGCCCTAAAAATCTTCTCTGCTCTGCCTATTCATCCCTCCCATCCCCTCAGCCCCTGGCAACCACAGATCTTTTTACTGTCCCCATAAGTGTGGCTTTTTCAGAATGTCATAGTTGGCATTGTATACTTTGTAGCCCTTTCCAATGGGCTTTCTTCACTGAGTAGTATGCATTTTAGGTTCCTACCTGTCTTTTCATGGCTTGATGGCTCATTTCTTTTTAGCACTGAGTAATATTCCATTGCCTGGAGGAACCACAGTTCATTTGTCCTTTCCCCTACCAAAGGACAACTTGGTTGGTTGTTTTAGTAATTATGAACAAAGCTGTGAGAAACACCTGTGTGCAGGTTTTTGTGTGGACATAAGTTTTTAACTCCTTTGAGTAACTACCAAGAAGTATGACCACTTGATCATATGGTCAGAATATGTTTGGTTTTGTAAGAAGCAATCAAACTGTCTCCCAAAGTGGCGGCACCATCTTGCACTCCCGCCAGCAGTGAATGAGAGTTCCTGTTGCTCTCCTTCCTCATCAGCATTTGGTGATGTCAGTGTCCTGGATTTTGGCCATTCTGATAGGGCCTCACTATTGTTTTAATTTGTATTTCCTCCATGAGGTACAGTGTGGACCATTCATCTGCTTTTCAGGAGCTAAAACATGTGAAGAAAAGCAGAAATTTTTGTTCAAAAATTATTTGGTTGTATCTACTTTTGATTCCTACTCTGATCCATTCAACAAATGTACACGGAGTCCCCACTCTGCCAGCCACATGCTCGGCACTGGAGACAGTGACAACTCCAACAGCAAAGCTGCTGGTTCCTGGTCTTGCAAGAATTCCCTCAGAAGAGACGGCTTTCTGGCAACAGTAAACAGCCCACGGAGAGAAGCAGTACTTGCCAGTCTTTGGTTTAGATGAAGAGTTTTTAACACCAGAAACCGCTGCTCTCAACTGTCTCTGAAAAATGCTTCGGAACAAATGCGTGTTATTTGTTACAAAGATACTGGTATCTTCATAAGTTACTAAGCTTTCATATCAAATCAGAATTACAAAAAGTGACATTCCCCAAATTCTGAATAGGACATGAGTAAAACGCTTGTTTTCAAATGCAGAAAATACTGTTTTCCATTAAAAAGGGAAAAGTTTCTAGGTCGAACCATGAATGATGATTTTTTTTTTTCAATTGCTGATGGGGGATATAGGGTAGAGGAAAAGTCTGTCCCTTTTCCTGAGCAAAGGACTGGCCAGAGTATATTAACAAATCCTTAACCAGCGTTATGGACTTTTCCACTCCTCTAACGTCCCACGGACCCCAGCTATGCTATCCACCTCGTACCGCCCAAACTTCAGCCAGAGTGCCCTAAAAGTGTGAAATGAAAGTACCTACTATTTCCAATCTAAGCTTCTACAACCTGTTTTCGGAGGAAAGCAAACATTACTTTAATCGACAAGAACTTTAATTGCCCCCAATATTAAAAAAAAAATTCTTTTAAATATTTATTTTTGAGAGAGAGAGAGAGAGAGAGACAGAGCGCGAGCAGGGGAGGAGCAGAGAGAGAGGGAGACACAGAATCCGAAGCAGGCTCCAGGCTCTGAGCTGTCAGCATAGAGCCCGACGCGGGGCTTGAACCCATGAACCGTGAGATCATGACCTGAGCCCAAGTGGGCTGCTTAACCGAATGAACACCCCCCCTTAAAAAAAATTTTTTTTTAATTTGTCCCCAATATTTTAAATATTTTCAAATAGCTGCTGGCTGTCCACATGGATCTTGATGCCCTTTTTTGCAGTATTAATCAAGCAAGGTAAAATGTTCAAGTAGTGTGAAGGAAGACATTTGGGGGCAAGAGAAAGAAAGGAGATAAAAACGACTGATTGCTCGCTACAGGCGGCAGCACATTTAGTCTCATTATCCATTAGTTAAGGTGAAGAAACATGTCTGGAAAGTTAAATAACTTTAAGGGACAAAGCAGAGATTGAAACCAGGAATCCCCAGTACTCCTACAAGGGCACTCAGGCATCTGCAAGCCTACACCGCAGTCTCTGAACCGGTCCCTTTTCCTCCACCCGCTATTGGCCAGGGTTTTCTAAAAGCACTAGGTCTATTTTTTCTATTTTTTCCATAGTGACTCTCATGGCCGTAAGAGCCGGGTGTTTGGTGGTAACTGGAGGGAAGATGAAGGGCAAGAGTGCACTGGTTGTGTGAGTAGGTTGCTTAAACCTGTGGCTTATAGGCAAATAGTCTCGTCACAGATTTTGAAAGAAGTTATAATGACTGTAGGTGAGGCATGAAGAAGAAACACATTTTTAAATATTTTAGGTACAAAAAATGGCAGAACAATTCATAGGAGGCATTAGTGACTTTTCTAGGCTGTAACTAAAAGATCGTATGATTTACCTCTTTAGAATTCTACAGAAGAGAGCTCTCATTTTCCCAGGGAAAAACTGAACCAGTCTGACCTCCGGTCATGGCCATGATCCAAGCAGTTTATATAATCTATCTGGGAAACTGGAGATTGTTCACATCTAACCTGGCAGTTAAAAAGGACCATGTTTCATGGAATTATACCTGCTTAGCTCCTCCCTGTGGTTTAATTAATTTTTTTTTTCAACGTTTATTTATTTTTTGGGACAGAGAGAGACAGAGCATGAATGGGGGAGGGGCAGAGAGAGAGGGAGACACAGAATCGGAAACAGGCTCCAGGCTCTGAGCCATCAGCCCAGAGCCTGACGCGGGGCTCGAACTCACTGAACGCGAGATCGTGACCTGGCTGAAGTCGGACGCTTAACCGACTGCGCCACCCAGGCGCCCCTCTCCCTGTGGTTTAAAATATTCTGGGGCATAGTAATGTCAAGATAACCCCTTATTCTGTCATGTCTTGTAGCTTTAAATGATTCACCTCAGTTTTGTTTACATAATACTTACACATTCAGATATTTGAAAAGAATAGACAGTGAAAATAAAGTCTCCTTCTTACCCTGCACCCTGGCTATGCAGAGCCTCTCTTGAAGGCAATCGCTGCTGTCAATCCCTTTTTTTTTTTAAGATTTTATTTTTTTAAAAGTAATTTCTACACTCAACATGGGGTTCAAACAACCCCAAGATCAAGAGTCACACGCTCCCCCAAGTGAGTCAACCGGGCGCCCCAATGTCGCCAATTTCTTAACGTGGGTTTTAATACACAAGAACTGATCAAAACCATAGCAGAGCCCCATTTCACACTATTCTGACTGAGACCAGAATGCTCCCCGTTATGACATACATGAGGTCTTCTTTTATCTTTAGCAATATCTATCTTTGTAGAAAGAATCTACGAAAAAACTGCAAGACAGGAGCGTAAAAAAGGAACAAAGGAGCCGCTTCCAGTAGCCATGATGATGGCTGCACATATTAGAAAGTGTTACTTGATATTCCAAGGGCTTTTTTCCAACTTCTCCTCTTCTGAAAATCACTCACTTTCCCTCTAGAATAATTCAATCATCTAAATTATAGCCTAGGAATGAGCACCTAGAATATTTTGGATGCTTTGATTCAACCTGGCATTATGTGAAGTCTGTGATGTATGCTAATAAGAAAATGCTGTTTAACATTCTCAAGAGAGGTTACTAAGATGGAGGGCAATAAAGCACACGCTAGATCACTATAATCCAAGGAGATCGATTTTTCTCCCTTTTAAGAACATTGGGGGGATAGTACTTTCCTCATCCAGACTGCCCCAAGAGGCACAGACTTATAGAGACAACTCCACCGTATTAATGCCCTCACAAAATCAACACTTCCATGCCTAATAAGACACCAGTGCTATGGCACTATTAGGTATTTACCCAAAGGATACAGAAATACAGATTCGAAGGGGCACATGCACCCCAATGTTTATAGCAGCACTGTCAACAATAGCCAAACTATGGAAAGCCCCAATGTCCATCTGATGAGTGGATGAAGATGTGGTCTATACACACAGTGGGACATTACCCAGCCATCAAAAAAATGAAATCTTGCCATTTGCGACAACATGGATGGAACTAGAGTGTATTATGCTAAGTGAAGTAAGTCAGAGAAAGACAAATACCATACGGTTTCACTCAAGTGGATTTAAGAAACAAAACAGATGACACATGGGAAGGGGGAGAAGAGAAGAGAGGGAAACAAACCATAAGAGACTTTTAAGGATTGAGAATAAACTGAGGGTTGATAGAGGGGAGGTGGGTGGGGAATGGGCTAGATGGGTGATGGGTACTAAGGAGGGCACTTGTGATGAGCAGTAGAGGTTGTATATAAGTGATGAATCGCTGAATTCTGCTCCGAAACCAATATTGCCCTGGATGTTAACTAACTAAAAAGAAAAAAAGAAAAAAGAAAAGAAAAGACACTGGTGCTTCCCAGCGGTCGTGCCGTCAGGGCACACATTTCATAAGAATTCCACAAAGACACTTTGCATTTTAAACTCTATGTGACCCTTACATCTAAACGAACACTGATAAGGAGAGAGAGCTGTCATTGTGTGTGTGTGTGTAGAGGTGCAGAGGGAGGGCCATATGATAAGACAGAGATGGAAATGAGGTGATAAAAGCAGAGGCTGACAGCTTAGCGTCTCCAAAGCTTTGCTGGCTCTGATATTCTAGGACGTAGGTCCAATTCTTCGACTCCACTGGGCAATTTTGCACCAGCCAAGTAATCTCTTTGTGATTCTGTGTCAGCCTGGAAAATAGTTATGGTACTCACAGAGAGAGAGGTGACTCAGCAAAATCATTCTAAAGAATCCTCTTTTGTCAGTTGTCAACTCTCTTGCCTTCTGACTGAAGATCTGAACCCCCACCAAAGAAAACCAATACTCAGTTTTCTGTTAACTTCTAACCATGAGCCATGTTATGTATCTAAATAACCAAACAGATAGAAACACACACCTAAAGGAAAACCTCAAACCTCTTCTCTAGCAGGCTGTGCCCACGCCCCTACCACGGAGCAAAGCGTACTCATTTTCAAGCAGTTTCCTTTTGCCACCTTTATTTCAGACCTCACCTCCTGTCTAGCTACACAGTAGGGCCAGGATGGCACTGCAGACCCTTTCCTTTGCTGAGATCAAACTGCAACTGTAATTTTTTTTTAATGTGACTATCTGGCTAATGTCTAACCCCCCAGCTAAAGTGCAAGCTCCATGAGGGTGAGGACCTTGTCTGTCTCGCTGAATGAGGTGACTGAATGAACAGCTTGTGAATGCATGGATTAATTCATGATCCTAATTGCCCATGGAACCCCATAAAATAAAAGTTGGTCCTACTTGGGAGACCTCACTGCTAGACCATGAGTTGGTCTTCTGCTTGGTTGGTTCCCGAGCTGCCAGCCTGCGCTGGGCGCTGTTACACCAGACCGGGTGGCTAAGCCGTCTGTACCCACTGAGCCATGTCGAGGAGCATTTCTCAGACAACCAGGGCTCAAGGAGAATCTGATGAAGGAGAGAGGAAGAAAGAACACAAGGCAAGACCTGGAGCCACACCCCCTCTAGCCAGCTTTTCCCTCTCCTGCCCTGCATACCTGGCAGTTCAAAGATCGCTCCAGGGTTGCTGGGGTTTTATCTTACCCTGAACTATTTTTTTTAATGTTTATTTATTTTAGACAGAGGCAGAGAGAGAGAGAGAGAGAGAGAGAGAGAGAGAGGGAATCCGAAACAGGCTCCAGGCTCTGAGCTACGAACTCACGAAACTCTACATCATGACCTGAGCCGAAGTCAGAGGCTTAACCGACTGAGCCACCCGGGAGCCCCAGACCCTTAACTATTCTAAATTAAGGCAAAGCCTGAATGGACAACCAGAGACCAAGTCCTACAGCTGTTTCCATTCATGTGTCTTTTTCCGAACACAGGATGGAAACACAGTGGGTCTGCCGGTTGCAAGCACTCCTCGCGGTGATGAGGGTGACGAGCTCGGGTACTCGCCCTGGATCCTGGCCACCTCGGGGGCATATGCGGGAGGGCTGGGGGCCCGGGGCCCGCCCGCAGCCCGGGACAGCATTCAACCCACCTTCCAACTCTGCAAAGCCGAGCACCACATCTGACGCCCTGCCCTGCCTGTCTTTGACCTCCAGGGCCGTAATGGTGCAGCCCCAGGAGATGATGTCCACTTTCAGCAGGTCTGACTGCAGCTGGAACTTCTCCACTGTCCCTGCCCCTGAGGGCAGGTCTCCGAACACGGCTCTAGTCACCGAAACCATGGGGAAAGCGTGGGGGCGTGCAGCTACTCCCAGCCCTTCCGACTCTGCCTCCAAACCTGGAGCCGGAGAAGTTTACTGGAGAAGGGCGGGACACGGCCCAGACTCCTCCCCTTCCTTGCCTGGATTTGGGGAGTGACCGCTCCTGCAAAAAAAATACCTTCTGGCGACTTTCTAAACCTTTCCTTTGCCTGAGGGCCACAGGAAGGCAAAATTTCCAGACGGGGTTTTCCTTTGCTAACTCTGGCTGCATTGCATGTTGGGAGTGGTAGTCTTTGGAAGGTGAAATTGCATTTTGGGGCCTGTAGTTTTCCTAAACCCAAATGCTGAATCTGCAGGATTGCGGGGGCGGGCGGGGTGGGGGGGGGGTTTCTCCGGCTCCCGCTTCTCAACAGGAAGAGCTAGCAGTTCGTTAACTTTGGTGGCTGACTTTCAGATAAAATGCTGGAAGATGCAGAGCGCAGAGTTAGAGAAAGATGAATGTTGGGGGGAGATTCTGGTTTTAAGTTAACTCTGATCCAGAGGAGAAAGAAATACAGAGATAATGTAGAGAAAGGCGTCTCTGCACACTGATTCATTATATTTGTCCCACACAGTGAAAATTCTAGACATGTTTGTGCTGGAGCCACTGCCCAGAGGCTTTCCTGGCTGGTGGCCTGGAGTGCAGACTGGACAGGGTCAGTGTAGAATAGTTACGGAGGTGCTCAGAGGCAGCCTCTGACTTTCTTTTCCTCAGGGGACTGGGTGAGGAACCCCATCGTTGAAGTCCAGAAGCTTCCTTTTAAAAGGATTGGGGGGGGGGTGCCTGGGTGGTCAGTGTTAAGTGTCTGACCAGCTCAGGTCATGATCTCACTGTTGGTGGGTTCCAGTCCCGGTTTGGGCTCTGTGCTTGATGTAGCTTCAGAGAGCTCGCTTTGATTCTGTGTTCTCCCTCCTCTCTGCCCCTCCCCACTCACGCTCTGTCTCTCCCTCTTTCTCAAAAATACATAAACATAATTTAAAAAAAAAAAAAAGGATTAAGGGAGTATTTATTGAGGTCCCCCTAAATGTCACGTACTATACTTTTATTATTTCCTTTCCACAAGCAGAAAAAGGTTATAAGTAGGTACCGATGGGAGAGGAAAAGGCAAGCAGACCATTAAATAACTGTCATCCTTTCGAGTGCCTCAGAATTGTGTGAGATTTTTCAAGAATATATATTTCCAGGCCCATCCCTGGAATTTCAGATTCTGTGAGTCTAGGGCAAGACTCAGGAATCTGTCTTTTTCACAGGTTTCCTGGGTGATTCTAATGCAGATTACCTGGGACCAGACTTTGAGAAGTACTGCTCAATGGTTGGGTGACTAATCTTAGATTTTTTTTTCCTCCAAATAGACTCTGATGGCATAAGACTAAGATAGAGCTCCTAAAGGCCTTAATAGGATTGCCAGATGAAATATAGGAGCCTGTGTACTTCTTTGCGAAATGTGTCAACTCTAGACAGTACTGGGCCCAGGAAGAGAGAGGATGCTGGAAGTCGGAAGTGTTTTACTTGATGGCCTTCATACTCCTCTGGGCTTGACACTGCTTTTGGTTCGGTTTCTAGGTACTTCAGAGGGGTCCAACTGGACTGTGGTGGGTGGTGGGTGCCAAAATGCATCTCTGATTAGGAAATTAGGAGAACTGGGGTTGTGTTCCTGGAATCAGATGCGAATAAAACATAACTGCCTCTCAGCCCTTTCTGTCTGTCGTTTGAAGGAATACTTAGCATTCTTGCCACAAGCCTCAATTCTCATTCATGAAGCAGGGGAACTGTGGTAGCAAAGGAAAAAGAGAGCTTGCAACAAACAGGCTTTAGTGAGGCGTCACACATGATAACAAAAAGACCCAAACAAGTCAAATTACAGCCTGCGCCACACTCACACAATAACCGATAGCACTCTTGCGTGCTGCTTCATCAGAAATTCTCATAAACTCTGCAATCCTCATCAACCCACCTAACATTTGCGGCTGATTCATATACAAGCCCTTTCGGCAATGCTGTGTTAGCACGGATGTCTCAGAACCTCTTCTTCTGTGGGCAGGAAGACGGCATTTTCTTTTCTCAGCCTCCAGTTCTCAATGTTCTGCCAAGCTCATGTTGTCACAGAAAGAGATGAATGCATTTGAACGGCCAAAGCCAAGTGTCACTAGGGGAGATGTTGTAGCTAGGCTTGGTGGAAAATGAAACATACCATGATGTCTCTCAAAGATGTAAGGAGTACATTTCATTTCATTTTCCTTTCACTTTTAAGGGCTGAACATATTGTCATAAATAGGACTACCTTGTGCTAGGTCAGCCGTCAGGCTTGAACCTTGACTTTTCTTACCAAAATATCCTATTCTCCGAGTCCCACAGTGATGCTCTAAAGGAATATTTGTGCACTTGGGGCACCTGGCTGGCTCTGTCAGTAGAGCATGCAGCTCTTGATGTCAGGGTTGTGAGTTCAAGCCCCACGTTGGGTGTGGAGCCTACTTAAAAAAATAAGGTAATATATATAAAGGAATATTTGTGCACTTAAAAAGAAAGGAGGAAGAAGCACCCTTAAGGGAAGGAAGTATTCTCCATCTCCAAGGTTGGATTGGGTCAGAAGCCAGATAGTGCCTTTGAAAATGAAAGATCCTCAAATTTGAGGAAGTATTTCTTTTTATTTTGGGGATGAGAACTGGGGGTGAGGTCATGAGGTAAAGAGAGAAGGAATTGTGACATTGATGTCAAGAGACGTTACTTAAAGCGGCGCCTGGGTGGCTCAGCTGCTTAAGTGTCTGACTCTTCCGCGAGGGTCATGATCTCACAGTCTTGTGGCTCTGCTCGGCGCTGACAGCAGGGATATGGCTTGGGATTCTCCCCCTCTCTCTGCACCTTCCCTGCTCACACTCTCTCTGTCTCTCTCCAAATAAATAAACAAAACAAAACCAAAACCAACAAACCAAAAAGAGAAGTTGCTTAAAGTGGGTACCTTTTCTTTCAACCTGAGGACTCAGGGTAGACAGGTAAAAAATGAGGTCAGTTTCTCTTCTCTACTGGAAGTTAGTCCCCAAAGCTGAGTGTGTGGGGAGCCAGGAATGAGGAGATCTGAGCCCTTAGACCCTGGACTCCACCTTCTCATTCTACAAAGACACTGCATGTGTACTATTCCTGGGATCTGTCAGATCTGGGGCCCATGGAGACGGCTCCAAAGCTTTAAGCTGTTGACAAGATGCCTAACTCTCTGAGCTGTAATAATAAACCAACTCATGATATCTCACAGTTTGTCTATAAGGAGACCCAGAATAGATTCTCTTCTGTTGATAAGTTACCATCTTCCTGTTCTCTTTCTTATTGCTCTGAACTCGAATGGCATTTATTGTCAATTTGCTTCATTGGGTGCTCAACTATGCAATATCTTAGATGGTTCATTATCTGCCCAGGAGCACATTTTGTTGTTATTGTTTACTCAACGTTTGGCTCCCAAACTCCATATTTTGACTCACAAATTTTTTGTGACGGAAACAACACTAGGTTTCAGAAGAAATCTGGGAGCCAGGGAAATCTGGAAGAACCTCTTCAAGTTGACAAGAGGCAGAATTCTTCATAGTTCAGGTCAACTCGATTTCATCAATAATTTTGGAGCAGCTGCTGGGGAAGGCATTATGGGTGCAGGTGAGAAGCTGTTGAGAAAGATGGATTAAATTTTGCTGTATGACGTGCTCATTCGTCAAATATTCTAGGAGTATGTGCCAGGCACTGTGCTAAGTGCTGGCTGTACATTGATAAGTAAAACATGATCCTTGTCTTCCAGGAGCTTACAGCTTAATATGATATAATGCTCATCTCTGTCTTCCATAAAACCTGCAATAAAATCTCCAGAGTTCATTACCAGTCAATGCTGGGTGAAACAAAGCACTGGGATCAGCCTCGAAGTAGTTGTAATTTAAGGGTTGCCCAGAGATGTTCAGTCATACTGGGATTATTTTAGAATTTCCTAGAAGCAAGCACAGGAACTGGCAATTTTAGATGCTCAGTAAATAACTGTTGAATGAATACATGATACATTCATATTTATGATGCTGTAGTGGAGAATTGGCTCTGATATCAGAAAAACTGGGTCCGAAAGTCATCAGAACTTACTGGTCAGGCAATTTGTTCAACCACTCTGAACTTCAGTTTCCTCAACTATAAAATGGGAATAATATCACATGAATGGCCCATCCAATTATTATTAATTATTACTAGTAAATATAAAGTGCTAAGAATGAACTGGGCACCATGATAAGCACTCCTATGAGTCAGGCACCATTATCTGATACAGAAACTGAGACTTACCAAGGTTAAAAGGTCACATGGCTAGTAAGTCAGGAAATCAAGATTTGATCCTGGGCAGTTTGACTGCAGAGATAGGAGCATTTAACCACTTCCTTATATGCTGCCTGGTATTGTGGTCAATGGGGAACCTGGAGTCCAAAGCAGCCTGCAAATTTGAACACGTTACGCCAGGGCAAAATGCTCATCTCCTAATTTTTATGGTAATTACAAGTTTAAAAAATTAGTTTCTGGAATTAGGTCACAATGGGCTCAAGACGGCATTGTGTTCACTTACTGTAAGTACAGAAGGGTCCAAGGAGAAGAGCTAATCCTTGGCAGCCATACACTCTGGAAACGAGGCACCCATCACCTCCAGATCTATTATGTTGTCATTTGTTGATTTGTTATTATGTCTTCTGCCAAGAAAATGGAAGCTCCACGAGAGTGAGAACTTTCACTGCTATATCCTAGTAGCTAGAACAGAGCAGTGGATTGCTAAAAAATATCTGTTGATTGAGTGTTTGAATGCTGGAAAGGATGGGAAGCATCTCTCATACACAGCTGGTAGAAGTCTCAATTGATAAAAACCACTTTGGAGGACAACTTGTCAATATGTAATCAAGTCTGTTTGCACAAAACTCAGAAACAGCCCATGACCCAGCAACTCCATTTCTTGGAATATACCCTGGATGATGTTTTG